GACCTCTCGAGGGAGTATTATTACTACTAGTTTAGTTGCACGAACAGCCGAGCAACGCTCGAGCAATGCGGATATGCTGCGTTGTTCAGGGTCACATCGGGTAAATCGCCCATTTTGGAAGTTTACATAAACCGATCAGGGCTGGCCATCACTACGCTTGGCTTGCCGCTTGGCCTGTGCCGCCATGCCTGGTTTGACGGTATTTTTCTCTGCCTCCTTACTCCCTCCACCTCAAAGGACTCGATCCTCCTACACTCGTTTAACATGAAGCCCCAGGCTTTTACTGCTCTTTTTGCCGTGCTCGGCGCGGCTGCTGCCCACAACACCCACGCAGACATCGCGAAGCGCCAGGCGGCCGCCGCTGCAGGAGGCACCGTGGTCGCTGGGGTCACCGTTCCTGCACTCGCGAGCCTGACCTTTGGGATGCCCACGGCGACCACTCCAGTGGGTACTGCTACGGCAACTCCTGGAGCATCTGGGCCTGTTTCAGGGGCTCCTGCGCTCCCTTCCCCGGCCTGTGAGTGCATTTAAATCCTAAATCGTAACCAATTTCACTCTCTTCGAAGGGGCATTTACCCCCGGACAATGGCCCACCATGGACAAGGCCATTGACACTAGTAAGTGCCGTGGATTTTTTTGAAGCTTCCGTGGTTTCTGATCTCATCTTGTGGCATAGCTTCCCCGCAGGTCCAGGAATGGATGAAGGAGCTTGACGGCTACAACATCCCCGACCTCAAGCCCACCACCGATGGCTCGTGCGTAAACGACACCGGTACGTTTTGTTTCTCTCTCAAGACATTCCACGCCAAGCCTGACCTGGGCAATCCAGCTGCTGCCGCTGACGCTGCCAGCCGCGGATGGTGGACGTGCGGTGGCTACACTCGCGACACCGACATCGTTGCTTGCCCTGACAAAATGACCTGGGGCATCAGGTGAGTCCTCGCATATCCGATCGTCTTACGTAACTTATCTGCTGCAGCTTCGACGATGGCCCCGGTCCATACAGTACGTCTGCTTTCCAGAAGCTCCTGTTTTCTCACTGATAATTTCACGTAGCGCCGTTGGTGCTTCTCTCCGGCGGTGATAATCATCTAACCTGACTGATCCTAGGAACTTGCTGAAGTACCTCGCGGAGAAGTCCCTTTCGGCGACGTTCTTCGTCGTCGGCTCGCGGGTCATACAGTACCCAGCCCTTCTCATCAATGAATACATGGCCGGGCATGAGATCAGCGTCCACACTTGGTCGCATCCCGTTAGTCGCCTTGATCTCGCAATGAGCGCGCAACTCACCGTGAAGCAGCATCTGACGGCCCTCAGTAACGCCCAAATCGTCGCAGAGCTGGGATGGACGCGCAAGGCTATCCAGGACGTCCTTGGAGTTACACCTACCACAATGAGGTCAGATCTCTTCAGCAATTTGCCTGCGCGCGTGTTGCTAACTAACAGAACAGACCCCCTTACGGAGACATCGGTATGTTACTTCGTAGTTCGTGGGGCCACCGACTGACCAAGCCCCAGACGACCGTGTCCGCATGATTGCGCTAGCCATGGGACTGGTGCCTATCATCTGGACTCGCACGCCCGCGGGCGGCTCTTTCGACACGTTCGACTGGCAAGTCGCCGGCGGTAACGTCAATGGCCTCACGTCGTACTCCACCTTCGAGACCATCCTCGGAAACGCGTCGACTCTCAATACCGGGTACGTCTTATGTTTCGTCTGGTCCGTGCGGCCGATCCTCATAGCGTCTAGCTTCATCGTCCTGGCGCACGATCTGTACGAGATCACCGTCGACATGGCCATCGGATACAGTCTCAACGCCGCCCTCACCCATACCCCCCCTTTTGTCGTCAGTCCTAACGCAGGGCTTGTCGTATCCCTGCTGACCTCAGTTGCAGCTCGAGTCCATCGGAAAGTGCTCCAAGATCCCTGCAACGAACCTCTATGTCGAGTCGAACAAGAACGCGTCCTTCCCCTTCCCCAGCCCGCCGAAGTCGATGGCAGGCGGCACTTCTTCCGCGTCGAATGCCACCGCCAGCGGGAAAAGCAAAACCCCGCAGAGCGGTGCGAGCAGCGGTGGCGGCACGGGTGGCGGCACGAGTGGTGCGCTATCGACGTCGGTCTCGATGCTGGCGCTCCTTGGCGGCGCGGCGCTTGGCAGCTTGCTCCTCTGATGATTTTCGTCCCTCTCAGTGCTATCCGCATACTAGTTTTCGGATTAATGAATGCTGCAGGCATGCATGCGTAGATGTCGGCCTGACCCTTTGGACTTTTACATATATCTGCGATCTAGTTACGACAGGATTCATCTCCGCGTTCCAATTGTATAAGATTTACACATCAGACTCAAGCGTGCCTCACCGCACATCTTCTTGCGCCTGTAGCTCTCAATGTCTCTCATAGAATCGGCAGTGGCGGCCATGCTCGTCGTGAGCCTGTAGAAGGCTCCTGTCATTCTCAGAACGAGAACGAGGTACGAGCGAGGGGGTTTGTCAAGAGAGACTACCTGTCATTGCTGTGCAACCTGGCAGGAGCCAGCAGGTGCAAGACGCCCCTGAGCCTGCTCACGTCCAAGTTCATGCCCAGCGGATGACCTCCCCCATACTACGAAGCGCATGCGCGTGTAAACATTGTCCCTGGCATGAGTCTGCCTCACTGTCGCGCGCTTCTTTCAACTTCTGCTTTGCTTCTGCTGGCTGCGGCTGCCGGCAGTTAGTACCTTTTCTTCGGAAAGCCTTTCCGCGATGCACTTGAGTTGCGTTGCCTATTCAGATCGCCAAGGACTAAGATTGATGAAGGGTGCGCGACTGTCATGCACTTGAATGCCTGGCAGCCTCACTTTGTTGTGTGGGGTCATCAATTACAAAACAGCCGCTCTCGGCCAAAAAAGGCAAATTCTTGCTTGTGGTGACGAGAAGACTGAGCCAATCAGAACAAAAGTATATTGCCTAATCGACCGTTTCATCTTTCGCTATTTCACTTCTGTCGGAAAAATCAAAATAGCCTTATAATCTGAGCCAATCTTATTGGTCCTTTTATGGACCTTATAAGGTGATTATAAGGCATTAAAAGATTGGTTCGCCTGAAAATTACCTTTTAAGGTCCTTATTAGTTATTATAATGGCTCAATTTTTTCAGGTTTTTCCGACATCTCTCGCCGATCCAGCGCCACCTACCATCAACTTTTCTTTGAGGAGGGGGGTTTCTTCTTTTTTTCTTTGTTCTTGGGATGTGGTTTATTTGCCCGCTATATATGGTGAGCATACTTTGTCACTTTCTAGGTACTGTAGCCTTGTTCAAAGTCCCTGGGTGGTGGTAGAAATAGTAGAGTATAGTGAATGTGAGGCAGAGACAGAGGCAACTTCATCCTGGAAGTGTGACTGTGTTTAGATAGATTTTGCCTAGTCATGGACGTATCTCCCCCCTCCTCTGAGGAGCGACAGCCAACAATGATTAATGATTGCCGGCTTCCCGTTCTGGCGATTGACGCTCAATCGGGACGTGCTCCGAGCCTCTGCTTCAACGCGTCGCACATATCGCCTGCGCACACTCCTCACTAGGCAGCTTGTCATTGTTATGCCACCTAATCAACATATATTCTAATGGATCCTCTTTCCTAACTGAAGCGGAGCTGTGCAACATGTAAAACCACTCCAAGTGGATGGACAGTGTCCTTCAATGCTGCAATATCGAAGAATTGGGGCTGTATCAGCTGGACTTAGCCCTCTAAATAGACAGAAAAGTAAATGACAAACTCACCCTCCGACATGGGGGATGGTGTCGATTCTCAATCAGCGCGTCTCGGCGCTCGTCCCAATTGAGGGACAATCGCCAGAAAGGGAAGTCGGCAATCATTCATCATTGATCGCTGTCGCTCCTCAGAGGTGGGGGGTGACACGTCCAAGACTTTATATACGTGTGAACGACTGTCTTCACAAAAAAGTATATAAAGTTTTTGTTTACGAGACTAGATTTTGCCCACAAAAGGAGCACACTGATTGAATCTTCTGTCATCAATGTGGATACTAGTATCTTCACAAGATCTGGGGCTGCTGAGCAATGATATCATGATGATTACACGCCTTATCTACTTGCTGGTGCACAACTCTTCCGCAGACTCCTGTTCATAGCATCTTCTGAAATTCAAATTGGATTCCCGGGGCTGAGCGTTGAACATTGAATGTTGTACCCTCTCGACGATTTCTCGATGATCAGTTGCGGCTATCTACAAGGCAATCCCGCCTGCCAATGGAATCTAGCGGGTTTGATGGCAGTTGGATTACAACGGTTGTTTCTTGGGGCTCCGTGGGAGAAGCAGCGCATTGGATTCCAATGGCTGGCCCACTGGACGGTTGCCGAGCCTCATCGGGGCGCCAAAACCAGTAAAATGTTGCAATAATTGGTGCATGCAAATGCGAAAGAAAGATTGGGTAGGGCACACAACCACTGCGTCAAGGAGACATTATGTGTCTCTAGTAATAGATTGACTAAGGTGTGCACTGGAGCCTTCAAGTTTCTTCAGTTGGAAGTTGGTTACAAGTCTATCCCAAGCGAGGTCTATCCGATGCTGACATCATGCTATCACTCAATTCAGATAGGTGCGGTCAAGTGGTGCAGCACATTATGACATATGTAGCAGTAGTCCAGACTTGAGTGTCAATGACAGTGCTAGTAAATCATCTGCTGTAGGTAATATGGAAGACTCATTGGAATTTTGTCGGTGAATACGACTCTAATGGGCAACTAATGGGCAGACCGGTGGGATCTCCCAAGATGCCCATTGGATTCCAACGGTTTGCCTATTTTCCGGTATCCGAAGGACGTCGCTTAAGAAGTTGATGGAGAAACCCATCAATTTTCGATGGGTTTCAAATCCTATCAGAGTCCATTGGCAGGCGGGATTGCCGTGTACGTAACGTAGCCTCTAGAAAAATTGAGAAATTCGAAGCCCGATTTGGGCTGCCGCTCACTTCAGAATCGACATATGAGAAGTTCTTCCATCGGCCTGATGGTCTAGTAGTATGATTCCTTGTTAGGGAGTTTCGACTCGTCTCGAGGAGGTCCCGGGTTCAATTCCCGGTTAGGCCCATGTTTTTTTTCCTCGTGCCTCTTCTCCCTCTAATCCATCCTTATGTTTGCAGCATCATTTTGCGGATTTTTTTTCGCCTGTTGGCCTACTTAGATATGGAGATTTACTGTATTGGACTACGAATTTTGGCTGAAGTGATATGTAGAGCGAGCCATCCATTAGCCACATTAGATGATTGTCTCTAATGGCTTCACTCATTCTTTTGTCCTTGGCATACAATCGCAACAGTACAATGCAAGTGATATATAATAGAGTATATGAATACTAACGCGACACAACGCGCTATAAGGTGCTAGAGCAAACAAACACACTAAAAAAGACATGAGACCACCAGCGCGCGTGCACAATGACAATGACAATGGACGAAACAGATGATCAGTAGGTATGTACGTGGGATGGATGGAAGAAGAGAAGATATAAAAACTAAGAAACAGAGCAAGAGCAGCCCAGAAACCGAAGGACAGTCGTACACCAACGCCACAAGTTATCGCGGCATCGACATCATCGAGACGTTATCGGACATGAAGCGCTGCGGGCCCGCCGCCGTGCGAAGCGCCAGGACGCGATCGTCCGAGACCATCAGGATCTCGTCGCGCCCGACGCCCTGTGGGTAACGATGCTGCTGCTGGTACTGATGCGGGTGCTGCTGCATGTGCGGCGGGAGCGCGTATCCGCCGAACGCTCCCCGGCTCCCAGCAGAGTTTGGTGGGCTGTACGGATCGTACCCGCCCTGGTAGTTGTAGCCCCCGCCGCTATTGTTCACGGAAGGCGGCGTGTCCGCGAACAGAAGCCGCAGGTTGGAGCCCTGGATCACCTGCGACATGAGCCCCGTCTCGATATGTCGGATCTCGACAAAGGACGGCTCAAACGCGAGCACGTATGGCTCATGCAGCGCTGTCAGAAGATTAGTGAATGATCCAACGATTAGCAGGATGATAAGAACCAAAGCCAGTCGGCGTCCCCTCCCAGAACACCATGAACTCTTTTCGCGACCGTCGTCCCGTTTTGTTGACGTAAAATGCGAATTCTAAAGATTCATGTCAGTTAGCGCCGACGGCGAGCACAATCCCGGGTCTATGCACCGTCATAGCAGAGCAAGAAGTCGTTATTTATCCGATAGATGGCCATCGGGCGTAGATTCTCCCGCTTCCGGACAAACTCGAGCGACTCGTCCGCGGGGTCGAGCAAGCCCTGCGTCTCCAGCGACTCGAGGTCCACAATCTCGAAGCCCTTCGAGCATCCGATACACATCCGCGTCTTGAGGTAGTGTATCGACGTCGACTCCACAGGGATGTAAAACTCCTGCAAGCCCGTAAGCATCCGCGCCGATAGGAGCTACAGGAATAGGAAACTCACCCTGAACGGCTTGAGCGTGTCGTTCCCGCCCTGCAACAGCTTCTTGAACGTCGGCTTCGCCCGTCCGCGGACCGTCTGCTCAATCGGCTCGAGCGCCTTGAACGTACTAGACAGCTGCGTCGATTTTACGATACACACGAGCACACGCCCGAGGCAGAACCCGGCCTTGAAGAAGGAAGTATGGGTCGCGATGCGCTTGGCGCGCTTGAGCCCAGCCATGGGGTCCATATGATCCAGCGCGTCCAACGGGAACGTCAGCACCTGGCGCTCTGCGCTAAGCATCAGCAATGCCGAAAGAAACGACGGCTAGGTGGGATACACACCAGAAAGCACTATGAGCAGCTGGTAGTCCTCGAGAACGTCCACCTGGCACACGTCGAGCAGCGCAAGCACCTTGATCGGGTCCTTGTTGATCTCGCGGAGGTCCGAGATGTACACCCCGTCGTCCGTCCCATACACAATCCGCCGTCCGCCGCCTACACACAAATCAGGAGCAGCCAAGGGACGACAAGAAAAGACTCACTGAACGGCGCCGCGCAGTTGACCTTGTTCGCACCGAAAAAGCCCTCGCTGAGCGCGACCGTGTCAAACACCATGCTCCGCTCTCGCATCGCCGTCTGCTGCTTCGTGATGTTTTCGACCCACTTACGGTGCACGAGCGCCGAGTTGGCCCACAACACGAGGCTGTACGTCTTGCGCCCGAGGTGCGCGAAAGTGATCCAGTGGGGGCCCTTGGCGTCGGGTCGGACGTTCATCGCGGGCGGGTGCGGCGACCCGCGTGTGCCAGTGCTTCCCAACGAGGTCTTGCGGACAAGCTGCCGGGTACGCTGCCCGCGAAGCGTATCCTTGCCGTTCGTCGCCTCCTCCGACGCGCTGATGAGCAGCAGCTCCAGCGGAATTGGCTACAATTGGCGATCAGAATAATCCGGTGACGAGGATCATGGCACACACCCGTCGATACACCCGGTACTGCTCATGCGTCTTGGTCTTGGCCTGCTTCGCAAACAGCAGCGCGTGGTCAAACAGATAGACCTGCAGCTCCCCATCGCGCTTGTTCAGCACGCCCTTGTACACGAGCTCGCGCCCCTCCTCCTGCAGCCGCAGGTCCTATCCACAGCCCGTTAGATTCCGAATGGCTCGCTTCTGGACTGCGCGACTCACGACCTGCTCCCCAGGCTTAAAGATGAGCTGCGAATCCAGCTGCGCAAGATTGAACCGGTTCTCCGCGCGGCCCGACTCCTCGTTGACGCGCGACAGGAAGGCGCGCACCTGGGCGACAACCTGCGGGAGGATCACCTTGTCCGGCGAGTCGTCCGGCGTGTTCTTGAGCACTGCCTCAAGCAGCAGCGGGTATCGCGCCAGCCGCGTCGTCGGTTTCGTCAGATACGCGTTCAGCTCGAGCTTACGAGACTCGGGCAGTCGTTCCGTCGTCTGTCCACTTCATGAGCCACAGCCTTCCAAACTACGTGAAACATACCTCGACAAACGCCGCGAATGCTGGGTTCGCGCTCTTCTCCTTCTCGAACTCGTACTTCCCGTAAAGCTGGTGCGCCCCGTAGCTTACAAACGGCTCAAAGTGCGGCACGGCGTCCATAAATATGTCCCCGATTTTCTCCACCACAGCATACGCCCGCTGCCGCTTGTTCAGCGCGTCCCGCAGCTGTACCACCACGCCCATCAGCATCTCCCCCCCACCAACAAGGATCAGCAGAGACGCACCTTAGTGTTGACCATGATGATATCATGCGCGTTCCAGAACACCTGGATGAGGAACTGTTCGCGGCGGTCCACGGGGATGATGTCCGCCGTTGCGAGGCGCGCGACCCACGAGTCACGCAGGTACTCCATGTCGCGCACAAAGTCGCGCTCCGTGTAGATCACCTCGTTGATCGCCTCCTGCCGCTTCTTCTCCGCGTCGCTCACGCTCGCGACGATCTCCGCCGGCACCGAGTGGATCCACAACGTCCCCGCATCCGCCGCGTCCGCGTCCCCAAGCGTCTCGCTCAGCGCTTCCTGTAACACCGAGAAAAATTGCCAAATTCAAGGCGAAAGAGACGACGCAAAAGCAAGTCGGAATGAAGGTGGAAGCAAACGAATCAGCAAAGCCCAAACTCCAGACGCAGACACGCACCTTCCGCAGCCCCGGCTGAGGCTTCATATTGAGCCGCGCCTGCTGCTCGAGCCGACGCGGACACGCAATACTATAGCAAAGCTGGTCACGGCTGCACGTCGGACTGTAGCAGTCCGCCAGTAGCGTGAATACGCCGGACGGCAGCGGCGCCTCCTCTTCCTCTGCCGCCTCCGCCTCCGGCACGGCGCCATCGGCGTCGAACGAATCGGGCGAAAGCATCCCGTCCACGGGCGCGCCGAGCAGCGTTTCTCCGCCCTTGCCCTTGCCCTTCCCCATGCCCTCCGGCGGCGCGAGCTCCCCGCTCCCAAACGGGCTCGGCAGCTTCGTCCGGAACTGGTACAGCTCGACGACGCTGTCCCGCAGGCGGTGGTCGTACGTCACGTCGTGGAAGAACTTCTGTGCGTCGAGCGCGCGCCCGAGCAGCAGCGCGAGGTTGCGGTCCGTCGTCTTGATGATATGCGCGATGCGGTCGACCGCCTCGCGCCCGTCGAACGCGTCGTGGTACGTCAGACCATCCTTCACGCGGTCCGCGAGCGGCACCCTTTGCCGGAACGCGTCCGCCACGCGCGACAGCAGCGCGGGGTACACGATGGGCACCGCCGAGCGCTTCTTCGGCGCGACCGTCGACGACGACGACGACGCTGCCGCGGGGGGGCCGTTCCCCGATGCGCCGCCGAGCGTCATGGACGACGCCGCAGACGACACGGCCGTCGTCCCCGAATGCGTCGACATGGCGGACATGCTCATCGCGCGGTCCTGCTGCGTCCGCTCGCGCCGCGGGCCAGCGAGGCGCGGCAGCGTGCGTGACGTCTCAGACTGGCGCCGGCTTGCGCTCGAGCCCGGGGTGCTGTTCCGGAGGTGCGTGCCATTAGGCCCGAGCGGTGGCGAGGGCATCGTGTCATGGTCGAGCGACGTCGGCGACGTCGAGCTGCTGGCGACGGAGGAGCGGATGGATGCGGGCGGCGTGTCCGATGCGCTCGAGAAGCGATGCGCCGCGAGGGGCCCGCGCGCCGCGTATTGTGCGGCGTGCGGCGAATGCTGCGAGTACGGGGGGGCCAGCTGGACGTATTGTGCTGTGGGAAAAGCCATCGTCAGTGTCGTAATACAGCGAATCCGAGAGACGACGGGATAATGGTTAGAAAGACGAGGAGGCCCCGATGCAAGCACGCCCGTGGTAATGATTCCTGTGTGGCCCGTCTCCGCCAGTGCACCGCCAGCCCACCAGCGTTATCGCCCCCGGATATAAATAAATATATGTATACCCAGCAACGAGAGAACGAGCCAAGTGACGCGAGATCCACGTATAGGTGGCTCACGGCAGGGGATTCCGTGAACATCTATCCTTGGATAGCCATCCCACCCCGCCGCGATGCCACGAGCCTTGACAGAACCGAAACAAAACACGCCTGAGCTCCAGTCGCGCTCCCCGCCAGCGCTTAGATGCCGCGTAGATACCGCAACGGAAGCGTCTCGCGCTGTGTACCACAGACATGACATAGGCGCCCACATCGA